AACTAATTTGATTCATATGTTAGGCATTCAGTAAATATAGACCTCACTACATTAGTAATGGTTTGCTAGACAAGATTGAAACTCATCGTTCCACGGCGAGCCGTTCGAATTTAATGTGGTTAGCTTTTGGCTCAGAAACACAAGTATGGGTCATCAACAGAATATCTGAAAGGCCAGCCTGCTAACCATTACTCTACGTATGTATTATTAAAGAATGAGAAAATAGTTGATAATTACTTGTTTTCATATAAGCAGCTGCCAGAAAAAATCCATTCAACTTCCCGGATGAAATAGAAATCGCCTGTACCGACGCACACCAGCCGGAAACTTAGGTTTACATTCACAACTAATCTGAGAACTGGTACTTGTTCTTTTGTTGCCAATCCGAAAAATCTTTGAAGTTCTCTAAGCCACATTTTCTTCCGTTAAAGAGATTATCACTGGAGGTGGTCAACGCGAACCTAAGATTTTCTTTCTGTGGGTCAGGCAAAGAAACCGTGTGTTCGGGCTTGGTTATTCAACTTACAATGCTTATGGATAAAATATTATACTTTTAGCAAAAGATACGTGGTCATCGTTTATTGACAGGAATTTAGGAAGGGTCATGAATTAAGTGACTGAATACACATCAGTGTTAATAAAAGCAGGAAAGAGTAAGAACTGGCGAGGATGTAAAGGGGGAAAGCAACGATGAAAGGTGCGCTTGTTATTTAACTCTGATTAACTCAAGTTGGGTACAAGGTAACTATTTTAAGAGTATCAGTATTCAATAGGCTTTCTTCACGCATTTTGTATTTTGATTAGCTAATTTCTCATATCAATGATTAAGATTGGCTGAATGAACTACATAGGCATTAAAGAAGATTATCCTTTATCAGATCTCATAGAATATCGTTATAAAGGGTGTTTCATTAAGACGGATTATATATAAGGGTGATTCATTAAGACGGATTATATATAAGGATGATTCATTAAGACAAATCAAAGTCAATAGTAAACAAATCATTGTTATTGGTGAAAATTTATTTATTTCTCTACTGGATTATTTAAGTCATGGCAATTATATGTGCAAAATAATATCGCCCAAATGTCCGTCAAATCTGAAAGAAAAAGAAAAAAAATCATAAGAGGCTGAAATTCACATTTAAAATCGGTCCAAGTTATTGGAACATCCTTTAGAAACACAAAGAAAGTTACCCAATAACAAAAACGAAATCACTGAAATGCTTTAAATAACAGCAGCTAAAAGAGATAGTACATGTAATTCGAAGAGAAATTAAGGGCATAATCAAGATATTGGCTCTCCACACTACCTTAAGGAAGGAAACCCCGAAAAACTAGAAGGAGCGATAACAATCAACTTGAAAAAGCTATCTTCCTGAAAACTGTTTTAAGAGAAAGATTTTATAAATTTCAACGGCAAGTAACACTGTTTGTTCAATGAATGTTGAATATTTGCTTGTAACAACAAAATTCACCATATATATATATATATATATATATATATATATATATATATATATATATATATATAGAAAAAAAAATTACCTCAAAATTACTTCAAAATTTTCTATACTTTTGAGATGAGGTACCATGATTACTTACATTATTTACATTATTCGGGCTATTATCCTCATCTTCATTGCCATATTCACAACGTTTTCGGTCGTTGTACATTCCAGCCTTCTTCAGGTGACTGAAATTTCGAATCGAATCCTTTATTTTGCCCACTGGGGTAGATTGTTCTAGTTCCACGTGCTATGCCTCTTCCGGATGTCTCAGTTATTTCCCTTTAATTCAACTCTCCAAGTTTGGTTCACCACTACTGGGTCCAGTGACTAGACCCAAAGAATTGTGAGTTGAATACCAGGACACAAAAAACAATAAACCCCACTCTCTTTTCTCTGTCTGTCCGTTTGTCTGTCTGTCTCTGTCTGTCTGTCTATCTTTCTTTCTCTCTCTCTCTATATATATATATATATATATATATATATATATATATATATATATATATATATATATATATAGACGACTGTGATTAAGCTTTTATTAAATTTGCATTCGTAAAAGGGATTTATTTTCTGAACATAGAGTATGTAAAAACTGTTTAAATGATCTGTTGTTCCGAGCTTTTTTAGGTAATCTATGTCATTAGCAAGGATTTTTTTTCTTTAGCTGAATATATATATATATATATATATATATATATAGTGATGGAAATGTTTTAATTTTCAAACACGATCAGCAGATTGTGGCCGTGTTCATGGGGATATTAGCGAGAGTTCGCATTTTTATTTATTGTTCACGCTTACATTATTTTTAACCGTTTTTTTTGCATGTGGATGAGTTTATTATGGTTGCATTTGTTACAAATATGTTGCGGAGATAGGTTGATAAGTCTCCATGTGTGTCTAAATGGGTTTTAATGTAGATTTGATATGAGTTCCTGCCCAAATACATTATATATATATATATATATATATATATATATATATATATATATATATATATAAAATGTTGTGTATTTATGCAGCAATCCTTCATTCATGCAAATGTTATATTTTTTCGACCGCTTTTCGATTATGCATTTCGCCATTTTCAAGGATGAAATATATTTTTTTTATTTTCAAAACACAGTCAACATATTGTGTCCATGTTCGTAGTTTATATTATTGGGCGTTGTTTTTTGTTTTTATTAATAAGGCTTCCATTAACTTTAGCCTTTTTTTTTTTTGTGCGGACGATGCTATTATATTTGTATTATCAACAATATATATATATATATATATATATATATATATATATATATATAGGTGATCGATCCGTTGGTATATAATCCGGGTGGATCCTAGTAATATTAATTATTAAAACTGAATCACAGAGAGCTCGATGTTTTTATTTTAACAGAGTATATGTATTTTTTACAGAAAAAAAATTAACTCAAAATAGAGATAGTCTATTTCAAGTCGTTCTGTGCGTGGCTATCATCAGCTCCTAATTGTCTGTCTCGGAGCATTGTTTTAAATTTATTTTCAATGTCATTAGAAAGAGTCAATGTCATTATTAAAGAGAATGACTCTGTGTTAGCGATACACTCCCAAATATATGCACATGTATTATGTAATTTGGAATTTATTTCTATGTCTACATTTCGTGATTAGTTCTCTCCGTTGATTTAATAGTTTGCATTGATCTTTATATTTTATTACCCTGATTGTTTCTTCTTGCACCTATTCCTAAAACTATTGGGGGTGTTCGCGAAACCTAGAATTTTCCAATTTATTTGAGGATTCAGACCCTTTTTCTTCAATTCCCCAAATTTTTTTGAAATGGCTGTTTGGTGTTTTAATTTTGGATTGGTGAATGATTGATCTATGCGTATTGATTCTCTTTTTAAATTCTGCAGAAATGCCGATGTAAATATTACGCTTTGTCGTATTTTCTTTTCTTTAAATTATTAATTCCATTTATTAATTCCTATGACAATTATATTTTAGTAAATTCCATGGGGAAAAAAAACTAAATTTAACATGGAAACCCCTGTATTATTCGAGGGCAAGTGCAGATCCACTAGGCTAAGAAACTTTAGTAGGAACTGAAAATTAAACTACAATCAACAAAGTTTGTTAAACTCCATACTCAGACCATAATTTCTTACAACCTATCAGAGATATAGACATCGTTTTTTCTGCATTAACCAGGCCAATTCAAATTAATAAGTTACTACTCCGACCAATTCATTCATGGTGGTTTTAAAGAAAATGGCAACGACAAGGAAAATTATGTATACTATCAGAAAGAGAAAGTTGAAATGTCTGGGACATAAGAAAAGTTGCCTAGATAATCAAACACCCATTGGACATCCTGAATTCAAGCGAAGAAAGGGCAAACAGCTAGTCATCTACTTAAATCGTTTCTGTGAATGCGGACAGCAATAACACAAAGAGATGGGAAAGAGTATAAAAATTACTTACAGCAACAAAAAATTGAAAGCTATCAAGTTCTCCACATCCTTAACCAACCGGAATTTAAATGGAACTTAACTGAAAATCACACTCATTAGATTCCATGTTACAACGTTTCGGCCGAAACCTTCTTCAGGTGAAATTCGAACTGAACCCTTTATTTCGCTCACTGGGGTAGAATTTTCAAAGATGCCATGGGACAATAGTCCAAGTTCTCCACTGCCTTAACCGTAATGAACTCACACTCAATCAGTGGCCGAAACGTTGAATTACATATGGCGACAAAGATGAGGACAATAGTCCGAGTAATGTAAATAGTGTACATAATACCTCATCTATAGAAATATAGACAGATGCAACAGAATCCGTTATCGTCAAATATCAACAGATTAACATCGTCGCTTACCTTTCCCACTTTATTTAAAATATCTACGTAGGCATCAAACTTTTTAAGGACTGACCTCGTAGGCTTTCGGATACAAAGAACTATTTGCTAACTTCTGGATACTTATCTGGTCAATAAAGCAACAACGCTTTCGGGTGAGCGAATGTAGAGGTTCTTATTTAAAGATGTTGGTAATTGAGGGTGGAAGACAAACAAGAACTATTAACCTTTCTCGAGTAAATAGTTACAAGTGGTGAGATGAAGAAAGAACAATTAAAAAGAGTGTAGCACGCCCAAATCGGAAAGTTTATATATAGAGTTTTTTAATTAAGAACCTTTCCACCCTTCTCTCAACACGACTCACCACCGCTGATATTAGTGCATATATTTACATCGTCGGATAAATGAGGGTATTGATTAAAAAAAAAAAATAAAGGCACATGAGCACCTTCCCGTCCAGGCATGTATGCACAAATCACATGAGTTAAAAGGTAAACACAAAGAAGCAGATATATGTTTGCGTTTATATATATATATATATATATATATATATATATATATATATATATATATATACTACAGGAAGCAGATGCGCATGGATATCTATTCTAGCCAATGGATATCTATCTGAGACTATTCCTTATCAGTCTATGTCTGTTCCTTATCTATCTATCTATCTATCTATCTATCTATCTATCTATCTATCTATCTATCTTCTCCATTATCAATCTGTATCTATTCGTCTATCTATCTATTTATTTTCATTATCTATCTATCTATCTATCTTTATCCTAATCTTCTTTATCAATCTGTGTCTGTTCAATCATCTATTTATCTATCTATCTTTCTATCTATCTATCTATGTCTGTGCATTATGAATCTATTTATCTTCTGTCTTTTCATTATCAGTCTATCTATAACTGTTCTTTATCAATCTGTTATCAATATTCATTATCAATCAATCAACCTATGTATACCTTTTCCTTTATCTCTCTGTCCGTCTGTCTGTCTATGTTTATTCCTTATTACTCTATGTCTGTTCATTATCAATCTATGTCATTTCATTGTCTCTCTAAAAGTCTCTATGCCCAGTTGCGAAAGATATTGAGGGATCATTTTCTAGGCAGATTGCAAGATAAATGATACAACGGCGTGATTGGATACGGTTATTTGTAAAATCTCTTGAATGTATATCATTTTGTCTCTTTGTTTTTATGTTATGAACGATTAGATTTCAAGTCCAGGTAAAATCTTACCTTAATTACATGCTAGGCATACTCACCATAACGATATTTATTTTATGAATAATCTGATAACGTGAAAGAGAAATCATTAGGTAAATCGGTAAATGACTACACACATTGTAATATATATATATATATATATATATATATATATATATATATATATATATTAGGTTGGTGCAAAAATAATGACGTAATAATGTCGCTTTTTGACGTATTTTTAACGTAAAAAAAACGACAATATTACGTCAATATTATGCACTAACCTAATATATATATATATATATATATATATATATATATATATATATATATATATATATGTGTGTGTGTGTATTTAGTTGCAAATTCTTTTTAGGCATGTCTGATTGAATAAATTACAGACATTTTATCAGATAATTTTTAACAAAATCTGTTCATACTTCCGTGTATTGATGTTAAAGGATGAGAGAAATGTGCTATAGCTGTTTAATTTTCTTTTATTTTCATTTCCCAAGTACTTTCGATCTTCTTCCAAGATCATCTTCAGGGCTGCAAGTACTACAAAACTATATGTTACCGGCGAGTGAACGAATTATTTAGATTTAAAAACAAAATACAACCGCTTTTACGAAAAAAAAGAAAAAGGGAGATTTGATACGCACCGAAACAAGACTGCAATTGTGTGGCGATTTTGACATGTTCTCGATGAAGTATCCTAAAAATAAATAATATTGCTCTACTTTACATTGAGCCCTCTTTAAATTAAATGTTACGAACGGTGGGATTGTACTCTATTCCTTCTCCTCTTACTTGATATATATATATATATATATATATATATATATATATATATATATATATATATATATATGTCTAAGCAGCAACCTTTTTTTTAAACACTCTTCATTAAATATGGTAGACAATGAAGGTGTAATTAATCCATTATTTAGTTTTTCCAACATCCTTTCATTTGTCTGTTTTGTAGGAGTAAGGAAATACAGAAAATTAGCTATTTTATAGGAGGTTTTGCTTTTGGCCTTGTTAGTTTTTCATTATGTCTTGACAGTTTAAGTTGTATTTTATTTTTGTTTTGTTTTGAATAGAAGGGTTCATTTCGAGCCTTCGCGTGTTGAGCGCGACTGGAATTCGAGTGAGCATCGTCTTATCTTTAAAAAACTTTTAACACTCCATTTCCATTATTAAATGAGGCGAGGTTGATAGCAAGACAGAGATATTTAACATACAGAGCCTCTCTCTCTCTCTCTTTGTGTGTATGTGTCTGTGTGTGTATGTGTGTGTGTGTGTGTGTGTGTGTGTGTTCAGTGCTTATCCTCAGCTTTAATGTGTATCGCATGCCTTCAATGTGCCATGTGAGTGTTAAATTCTCCAAGCCTTATCTCCTCATTTACTACCCCAAGAATCTTTTTGATTTTCAATAGTTTTTGTAATTGTTATTCTTTTTTTTAACTTCCTCGTTTGTTACATGCTTTTGTCTATGCAATTCTCAAGATTCATTTCAAGACAAACCTGTCGATCGCAAAAGCGTGAAACCCAGGGTCACAAACTCACATCAATCCAACCAAATGTGATATTGAGCGCTTTCTAATAAGTACCGCACATATAATATATAAATAATAATATATATAATATATTACACATATATATATTTATATTTATATACACACACACACACACACACACACACACACACACACACAGACACACACACACACACACACACACATATATATATATATATATATATATTTCTGAGATGAGGTGTTGTAACTATTTACACTATTTATATTATTCGGACTGTTGTCCTCATCTTTATTTCCATATTCACGACGTTTCGCCAGGTTTACGGTCCGACCCTCTTCAGGTGACATACCTTTAGTAACTAAACTCTCCAAGTTTTCTTTTTAATCTAGTGGATAAAAGTGTGGCACCATGCATCCTGACGATTTGAAAGAAATATTTATAGATATAGGATTTTTTTTTTACGGTTTATCAACCATTTGATAATTATTTAAGGCCGAAAAATATTTTAGGTTTTAAGAATAATTCTTTCTTTGCATTCAAGCGATTTGGGAGAAAGAAAGAGAAAACGAAGAAGAAAGAAAGAAAGAGTAATACCAGACGGGTCATAGGCGAACACACACACACACACGGCTTAAGAGACGGAAATGAGGAGGAAAAAAGGTTATAGTTGATAGGTATCAGATGTCGAAAATATCTAGGTCACCTACGAACAAGCGTTGACCGATTTCCGCTTGTCCACGAAAAATGGAATTTTGTTACCAATGGATGTCACCCAAAAGAAGAAATCCATTGTTGAACATTGACGAAACACAGACAGTCTTCCATGTGTTAAGAATTAAAAAATCCCACACAAGAAGTTTTCACTGGCTAAATTTTTCTTTCTTTTGACAGAATAAACGTTTGTCCTGTGATAATAAAGATTTTTTGTTATCAACACATGGTCGAAAGGAAAATGAAATATTTTTATTTTTGCTTTAGAGACGCCAGGTAGGCTAGGAAAATTTCTTTCTTAGATCATGTCCAATTAGCGATAAACTGCTTGACAAACGCCACGTGTTAAAACCAAGAGTGTCACACCGGCTTCTCATGATAAGGGCGATTTAATTAATTTTTTTAGTTAAGCAAGGTATTTCTTTCCCAAAACAAAGCCACGGGTTATTCACGCCCGACTAAGACGTCATTGGCCAAGTGGATCACATGACGCACGAAGGAGGAGGAAAGATACCCGACCAGGACCTCATTGGCCGAGAGCGGTCACGTGACGCACGAAGGAGGAGGAAAGATACCCGACCAGGACCTCATTGGCCGAGAGCGGTCACGTGACGCACGAAGAAAATCAGTCGACGCCTCTATCAGAGTGTAAGTGGGAGAAGCCGATACGAAGAAGTGGGGGAAGGTAGTGCACGCCCCTCAGAAACACGGTAAGAGAGTGGGGAGTGAAAAAGAGTTACCAAAATGGAAAAGAGTGGAAAATCCCTAATCAGAAATAAGAAGGGTGGATACGTATTTAGAATTATCGAAGAACCCCTGGCGCCGACAGACCCACCCCAGTTTTGACGGCGTCAATAAAAACGAAGCCCCACCAGACAGAAATCAGTTTTGAGTTCAGCCGCGGACCCTGGTGAGAAGTTTTGAGCCCCGGACGGCAGGCAGAGATGAGCGCCCAGTGTTGAAACCGCATCAAGATAGCTGACCAAGATTCACGCACACTTTTGGACTCCTCTTCAACCAAGAACAAGTAGTTTGAAGAGCGACTTAGGACCAGACCACAGAAATAAGTTTTTCGACTTCCGTCCAAAGACACACCGAAACACAAATTTCTTAGATAGTAGACAACTTGAAGCGTTAAAGTTTGCCTAGCGAAAGCGTCGTGCCACAATCCACAGAACGGGTCGGGAAGTAGACATAGTCCTATGTACCGAACAAATAGACATAAAAAGTTTGTTACCTTTTTCTTTGATACTTTGAACTTTGTGAGTTTTCATTTTATTTTATTTTATACATATTTGTGTGTTATCACCCCGTTGAACTCAGCTTGCATTGTGGCCCCAACCCTGTTTGATCTCGTCTGTCTAAGATCAATTCACAACGTGGGTAGGCAGACTGGAGATCAGTGCAGTTACTCTAGTAACCAGGCGTTGGAAGCAGGTTGGGAACGGCGAGGCTGGTATCAATCTAACCAGATTCCTACCCGAATCACCAAAGGGTTAGAACGTCACGTTTGGAGCAGCGACACCCAGACGGAGCAGCGAGGAGCGAACAGCTGGCGCCGCGGCGAAGACGTCACAATTGGTGCTGTTTAGGGACGTCACAACTGGCGCCGTGGTAGATCAGGATAGAACGTCACAGTCGGCGCTGCGACCGGGGGACGACGTCACAAAGCGTTGGTTGAGTAGCCCAAAAAGTTATTTAACCCAAAGAATTGTGAGTTCAGTACCTGGCCACAGCAGAGCCCCCCAAAAAAAATTGAAGAGTTTCAACGTATATCACCTGAAGAAGATTGGGGCATGCAACGGCTGAAACGTCGTGAATATGGCATAAAGATGAAGAAAACAATAAGTATGAATGAGGACAATGATTGATGTAAATGGTATATATATATATATATATATGTAGAAATATAATTTTAATGTGTGCTATATTTATGGAATAAAGTGCTCAATATCAGAGATAGAGCGTATATAAATATAAATATAAAAGTGAACATTGAAGTCTTAGTGTTGACTTCAATGTTCATTATATATATATATATCATATATATATATATATATATATATATATATATATATATATATATATTTCTACAAATTTCCAGAGAGACCATTGAAAGTAGAAGACAAACACCTGAACTATGTAAAGTCTTTCACCTATCTTGGTAGCAAAGTCAATTGCAGTGGAACTTTAGATGATGAAATCATGCTTCGGATTGCTAAGGCTACCAGTGCTTTCGGCAAACTTCGCCATCGCCTGTGGAATGAGCGGGATATTCGATTGGATGCGACAATTCGGGTTTACAGAGCTGTTGTACTTGCCATCCTTTTGTATGGCTCAGAGTCGTGGACTCCATACAGGTACCATATACGCCAGCTAGATGTTTTCCATAAAAGCTGTCTGCGTGCAATCTGTGGAGTTAACTTTCAAGATAGGACATCTAACGTAGAACTGTTTAACAGGTGTAATATTGGAGGAATCGAGACTTTTATCATACAGTCTCAGTTACGGTGGACTGGTCATGTCTTGAGAATGTCTGATGACGGGATAACCAAGATCCTAATATACAGACAGTTAGATCAGGGCTACAGGAATGTAGGACGCCCATGGCTAAGATACAAAAACAAGCTGAAAAGCAACTTGTTAGCAGTCAATATACCACATAACACCCTTGAGCGCTTAGCTTTGGAGCGGGTAGAATGGAGATCAACGTGTTTTAGTGGACTCAGCAATTTTCTATCTGCTTGTCTGAATCATCTTCAAGAAGCGAGATCAAGATCTAAAAGGTCAGCCAATCTAACAGTGATCTCATTTCACAATCCTCACACGTGCTCCATATGTGGCCTCCTTTGTAAATCACTAGCGGGTCTTAAATGCCACTTAAGATTATCGCACAAACTTTCATAACTGAATCAATAAGCTGTCAGATCCTCATACGTCGAAACCGACGAGAGAGTCCAATTATATATATATATATATATATATATACAGGTTGTATAAAAAATAGTAGTGTATAGTGAGTTAAGTGATACGTGTTCGGCTTAATGGTAGAATATTCATATTATCAGCAGGAAGATATGATTTTTACATATACATTACATATCGGCCGCGCGTATGGCAATAGATGCGAGGCTGCACGGCTGTATCAAATTTCATTTCCAGGTCGAAGGCAGCTGAGTCATGCAACTTTTGCTGCTTTTTATCGTCGCGTTACTGAGACAGGATCCATGGCATCACAAACTATGAATCGAGGAAGATCGAGATCTGCTCGTAGGCCTGACCCCGAAGAACACATTCTACAGGCTGTCGGAGACGATATAGGTATCAGCGCACGCCAAGTGGTCCTAGCATATCGAACATCTCATAGTACCGCATGGCGAGTAGTTCAAGAAAAGCTCCTGTATCCGTATCATTTGCAACGTGTGCAGGGTCATTCGCCCTCTGATCACTCACAACGGGAGAACTTTTGCCGGTAGTTTACTGCACAAGTTGCCGATTCGTTGTTTGTCTCTTCAGTTTTGTTTACGGATGAAGCAAGATTTAGAAGAAATGAAATAACAAATTTCCACAACCAACATTTGTGGTCAGATCGGAATCCTCCTGGTATAATACAGGCTAGACGCCAACATCAGTTAACGATTAATGAGTGGGCTGGAATTGTAATTGACTGCCTGGTAGGTCCATATGTTCTCCCAGCACGCCTTCTAGGAACTGTCAGAGGTACTTTAATTCGAACATACTTCTACACCTGCTAATACGAAGACGTATTTGGTTTTTGCATGATGGGGCTCCAGCACATTTGAGTTACATTGTTCGCGATGCACTGGCTGATATCTACCATGAAAGATGAATAGGAAGGGGAGGAACGGTTTAATTCCCTGCACGTTTCCTCGACATCATTCCTTTGGATTTTTATTAGTAGTGCCACCTAAAACAATTGGCTTATGCAGTAGACATTAATAATGCAGAGACGGTTCATGGGAGCCTGCAAAACCATTCGACACCGTGTGGGAGTATTTGAAAGGGTCCACCAGTCAATGATCTGACGGGTGCATGTGTAGAAGCCAGCGGAGGAAAATCTGAACATTTGTTATGAGTTGCTGCATTGAGGTACAACGATGACCTTTGGACCTATGTTTATATAAACAGTTTACCTTGTTTGAGTGTCAGGAACCAGCCCCCAGATGTTTGTAAAAGTTTTTTGATACACCCTATATATATATATATATACTATGCAGATTTATAATCATAATCTAATACATTTTAGCAATATATATATATTGCACCCTATGGTTATCAGGGTACTAGTGTGTCAAATCAGGTTAAGTACGAGTCTCGTGCCAGTAAGATAACAGATAAAGTTTCATGTACAGGGTGATTTTTGGAGGATTAATTTTTAAAAAAAGTGATATTAACTCACTCTATGTGCCATGTTCCAGTTCTCGTTCGATCACCGAAGTTAAGCATCATAGATCTAGGTCAGTACTTAGATGGGGGACCGCTTTTGAACACCTGGAACTGTAAGCAGACCCATACTACTGAGGTAAACTTGGGCACCTCGAAGCGGTGTACTGGTTAGCAAGCTTGTCTCGCTAGAACAATTACGACTGAGTAGTAAGTTTGATCCTCGCAGGGTAACCCCCTACTTTTGGCCTTGTGTCACATCTAAGCTACGCTTGGAAAATCACCATGCCATGTCCTTCCAGGATGTAGGCAATTATGACTCGTTTCTTCACTGCCTTCAGCAATATTATGATCCCTCTTTGACTTTGTGATTCTTGTTCCTCTATTCATTTGCCCAAGCATATCAAGGAGGTCACTTGCAACTTTTTCCTGCTCCTCTTAGTTTCGATGTACCTTGTGAGTGTCCAATTTTCCAAGTTTGCTTTCTTATTATTTTTCCCCCAAAGAATTTCAGCTGTCTCTTGATCATTGCTCGTAACAGTTTCTTTGCAGTTCTTAGTCTTCTTAAACCTTCCTGATTAATCACTTGCTTTGTCTATGGTTTTCTCAAAATTCCTCAGTCGTGTTAAGTCTTTTATTGGATATCAATATGTTCTTAAGAAGTTTTTGGTTTTATCCCTTAAATCACTTTCTACATTTCCTTAAATCGCATGCTAATTTAAAGAAAATTGCAGAGCATTAGGTTGATATAAAATTCCTTAGTGACAGTTTTAATTCAATATTTGGGAAATCACCATATTGATACATGTTTTAATCCTATCTAAGCTTTCGACTTACATAAGCCATTATAAAAAATGACAATTACATTTCAATATATTAAACAATACACGGACAAAACAATAATGATAGTCTGTTTTTGTTGCATGAAAAATTTCAAAGCAACGACAAACTCGTGTATAGGAGACGCGGAAGCGAAAATTGCATCGCTGCTCGTGACGTCTTACATGACCACGCGAGAGTGAAAACGAGAAATATTAAGTATGGGAAGCCGTTGGTATAAACCAATGGCTTCTGTTATCAATTATAGGCATTTAAGAATATATGTGGAGAGTTCATATTTTATTTTGTTCAGGTTAGGTTTGAACTGTTTTATGTATATAGCTTCAAGAATATTTAGTTTTGTTTATTGTTTTCATATTTAAGTATAGTTGTGTTTTCAACGATGATTTTCCGGAATTGTGCACACGCGGCCAGGCATGTTGCTTTAAATGCCTAAACATGTTCGAATTATCATTCAAATGTAGAGTCAAGCGTCGTGAAAGCGAGTTTGTGGTGTGACCAACATATATATTATTTAATCCATTGGAAGTATAATCTCCCAAAGGGCACTTGAATTTGTAAACTATGTTGGTTCTTTGCAAATCACTAACGGGGAGTGGTGAAGAATCATTGCGAATAATTAAATTCGATATACTAGATTTAGTGTAGTATATGATTAACCTAATTTTTTGCTAGGTTCTGTTGTAGATATATTAGTATTAGTTATGTAATAAGTTGTATGGATATGAGTTTGTGACCATGGTTTTCACGCATTTGCGCTCATCTAGACAAACAACAATTGTGAAACCCAGCGTCACAAACTCATATTCATACAACTTGATATGTTCTATCACTGATATTGAGCGCTTTCCACTAAGTACCGCGCATATAATATATATATATATATATATATATATATATATATATATATATGTGTGTGTGTGTGTGTGTGTTTAGAGAGAGAGAGAGAGAGAGAGAGAGAGAGAGAGTTCCGTTGTAAAGCGAAGTGTACCTAACTTGTCTCCAGGATTTCCTCAAGTGTAATAGGTTCAACGCTTACTAATCATTCTGTTATTGTCACCTGCAAGTTTAGTAAATATCTCTGTGTACTGACAAACGGAAATATTGACGGACAAACACTATTTACTAGTAAAGAATAAAAAATATATAATTACTTCTAAAATATCTAATATATGTTTGGTAATTACGCCTTTATGTTAATCTGAATTTATCTGTGTAAAAAAAAAAGCATATTTAATTAAATGCAATTGTAGTGCACTATTAAAGCAATGGAAATAGTATGATGCTCCGCGTTTTCTTGTTTAACTCTTTTATGTTAAACTAAATCAATCGTGTTCATAAATAACTTCATCAAATCTAGAATTTTGTATTGATGTCATGAAGGTCGTTCGACTCATTCCCAAATGCCTAAACTATACTCTATGTCCAAGCTTATTCTCAAATCAATAGCTAAAAATAGCTTCAAACGAATAAATCCAATTTTAAAGATCATTCTTAATCAAACGCTATAGACTGGCACTACGAAATCACTGTTGTTCATGATGTCGGTCGTCTTTGAGTATAGAATCCAGAGGTTAGCAGTGAATATTTCGAAGACAGTAGGCAAGCGTTGTTCAGGTTAGCAGTGGATATTTTGGTAAAGTAGCAGAGCGTAGTTCAGTAGTTCTTCCTTCTGTTCTTTCGCCTGACAAGTTGGTACTGGACATTCGGAGAGAGTAAACAAAATGGCCGCCTTTATACACGACGGATTGAATATTTTACGTCTTCTGATTGGTTAACCTTCTATTGGTGGACTATAAAGTGAGTCAAGTCATTTTGACTGGCTCACTAGTTACATATATACATAAAAAAACTGCAACAATCACAACCAAAGTGCTTTACCTAATCACAAAACACATCACTTGAACACCCCCAACAGTAGTAACAACACACACAATTCATGTAACTACAAGGGATACAATCAAACTGTTAATTTTCCACACTACAGAAAACAAAACGTCTGAAAGGAAACTCATCGTTACTAGAAAGAGCGATAACAGTTACTGGACTTGAGAAACTTATTTTTCTGAAAAATGGTTTTAATAGATAGATCTTATAAATTTCCACCGATAATTCAGTGTTTAGTCAATGAATATCGAATGTTTTCTATATGGAGGCGGCTAATTTTACCATTAACTTTACTAAATTACATTTTATTCACCATTGAATGTTTATGGAATTTCATTTATCAACTTTAATAAAAATTCCAATGTCTGTTTATACGACGTCATCAGAAGAGTCTTTTGCATTTTGATAGGCATATATGGCTATATAATTCCTTTTATCGATGTTAACGAGTTTTCTTTTTTCGAATAAATCTGAAATTCATAGACAAGTCTTGATTCTTTCAAGTCTTCGACAGCAACAAATCGTTCAATATGAACTTCTAATATACAATGAATCATTGTATCGATACCTGCTTACATATTTCTTCGAGGGAGTTCTTCGACAGAGTTTTTCGGGAGAATTCTTCGAGATGAGTTAACTGACCTTTTCTATATCCCATGGAATTGCTGGTAGGTATTATTAGGACCACTGTTGATCTTTGTTTATATCTTTCAAATAAACTAGTCGAAGTCAAAAGGGAAAGCCAACGGGCCATTTACCTGACGAGCTTGAACGGAGCATTGGAAGCTTACCAAAGGGACAAACTTTGCCAAGAGCTATAAGGTATAGGAGGTTATGGGGATTCATGATGGCCCACGTCCTGAAGGGACACGGCACATAGAAGACGAAGTACGATTATTTAGCCAGCGTGCAGGACTATCGTTTCTAATAACCAAGTTTCTTAATTTGATGCCGATTCAAAAACACTCAGCACATCATATCAGTAAGAGAAATTCGGTTAAATGTTAAGCCTTTGGTTTCTACTCTTATGTATGTGAGACGTGCAAGAATGCCTGGCTAAACTCCGAGAAATATTATCTAGCTAATTTATCTAGCTGCACACAGGAATATTAACCTCTAACCTCGATGACATAATATTATGAGTAAAACATGAAACAATCTTTTTTTAAGTGAAGATAGTTTTGTCTTAACAACATGAAATTAAGAAACTTGTTTCAGTATAAATATATTTTACTTAAATTTCCAGATACCAAAGAATCTATCCGAGTGTTTTTCAAAATAATTATCACATTTTTTTTTTATTTCTTCATTGTTTCGATCAATATAAAGAATTTTGTTGGAAAGTTACAAAATCAAAAGAAGCAGTGTTCATGGAACTTGCGGAAAACTTTGGGGATGAGGATTTCTTTTAAAAGCAGAAAAAAATAAAAAGATTAGAGAGCAACTATGTGCATGAAATATATAATCAAGATACTATAAAGTATTGTATAATGAATTAGTTCTAACAGAACTTATTACCATTTTGTTCTGCTTTATCGTGTAACATTGTTTACATCTTCGGATGAGACAAGATAAAATTTTATTTGATTGCTGATAGCCGGGAATCAACCACCTCCCGAAGCAGCATTTTTTTTTTTCGGGAAATGATATTTCTCACGTCCATTGAATTAAAGAAATTAATTCAAAGATACACTTTAACGTTTGTAGCAGTGTCAAAGCAATCAAGTGAATTTCTGTGTAAGCCGCTATAAAATGCGAGCTTGAGAAACGTCTTCTATCGGAAGGGCATATATGTAGATCTGGCCACAAATAACAATATTTCGCCCATTTCTAATGTGGAATGGCAAAGAAATAACTGAGATTATCGAAAACTTCCTTGCTTTATATGCGGAATATGCACTTGAGGAAGGTCGAAGAATTGAATGGCAATGAGGTTGTGATAACAAGAACAGCAAAAAGTCTGCGAATAGTAATAACAATAACAATAGCAATTAACAATAACGCTAATTAATAACGTTAATTAATAACAATACCAATAATAATAAAATTTGAAAATAAATTTAATTAATAACGTTAATTAATAAAGATAACAATAATAATAACAATTGACAATAACATTAATTAATAACGTTAATTAATAATAATAACAACAGACAATAACATTAATTAATAACGTTAATTAATAACAATAACAATAATAATATTTGAAAATAACTTTAATTAAAAATGTTAATTAATAACGATAACAATATTAATAAAATTGACAATAACGTTAATTAATAACGTTAATTAATAACAATAACAGCTGACAATACATGAATTAATGACCTTAATTAATAACAATACCAATAATAATAACAGTTGACAATAACATTAATTAATAACGTTAATTAATAACAATAACAATTAAAAATAACAATAATAAGAATTATCACAATACGCAAAATTCCTTTGTTGGTCCGAAGTCGCAGAAAAATACAAGATGCAACAGAAATACCTCCCAGAAATACCTTCCACATAATGGGAAAAACATTAGCTAGATGAAGATAGCATTGATACTAATGTCTTGCTATTATACGGGAGTTATAATTGGGAGGTTTTTCCGCCGCACCATGTAGAACGTCAGTGAATTCATTTGGACAATGCAGAATGTCACGTCTTTTAAACTGAAGTTCATGTTCACTGCTCAATGTTTAAACATTCCAATTTCACATGTTTGAAATAAAATTTTATTTGTAGACTTATGAACAGTGACTGGAATGATATGAATACAATATATGAGAAAGGATCCATTTCATCAGACGGTGACGGCTTATCATGAAAGTCTGGTGATATCGTAAAGTAAATTTCTATGTAGTGAATGCTGGACAATTTCTTCACATTGAAGGGGAGACTTGATGCAAAAAGACGTGGTTCTACAGAAGAATACTCAGAATATCATTGATGGAACCCCTGGAAAGAATGGGGGGGTAGGGAAAATGGAAAGAAAAAGAAGCCTTGTACTTTAAATCAGAAAGAGACACTTGAACCATCTAGGACAATTAATGAGGAAAGGAGACGTGTAGAAATTAATACTAACATGGCATATTAAAGGCAAGAGATGCAGAAGCAAACATCGAATACCCTACCTGACCCTCTTGAGTGGCAGAACAGAGACTGGGGCAATAGTAAAATAACAAAGAATAGGAAATTATAGATAGGCTTAAATTGCCTACGCTCTGGTGGTACATGACACGTACAAGATCATCACATTCTTATTGTCAATAATAGTAACACTGGCTCAGCGATTTAAGGATACAGCATCGGTATCACCGATTAAGGTCCCAGTTTTTAATTATTTAAATACGTATGTAGGAGGGCATCTTTTGCTTTAAAACAAGTTCATCGGCTTTTTTCGAATAATTCTGGCGTGCTTTTAATCTTTTTTTTGTTTACCCAATACAAGGCCCAAGAGCCACTCAAGGTAGGGGATTACTGTGTTGTATCATATGAGTATAAGAAAGAGCAAGAAGTGAAGTTCTTGTGTTCTGTGCAGGAATGATAACAGCTAGATTTGAAGTGGTCAATATTTAATCAGGGAGTTATTTTTCAGAGTTCAATCGGAGACGTTATAAGTATAGAGTGGAAATAGATTTTATAAAGAAACGGAAACCCCTTCTTAAACAGGAAACAGGGAATAAACCTCTACCGCTGTTCAAAAGTCCGGGGAGGAGTGTGAACTGGACTATAGGCGGACCTATCTATTAAGTTAATAACAACATTTAGTACTATCATTAACCTTGCCATCTGTCGATCTAGACACATCCTCAATTCAAAATAAACCTTTTTTTAAACTGATTTTTCATTGGGAGATATCATTTACAATCTATCAGAAAGTAGTTGGTAACTATAATAGTCAATATACAAAATTACTCTATTTACTAGCATCTGTATTTTGTCTCAAAACTTAGGGAATTCCTTCCGTCTGTGTTCTTTATACTCTACTCCACATGACTCACTTCTTTCGTATTTCTTAATTGTCTCTGTTTTCCCCACTTCTCTATTTTTAAAAATTACCCCTTTTACCTAAATACCCCATTTTAATTTTTATTTTCTATTTTTCTCATTCTCTTTTTGCAGATGGTATGTTTGCAAAATTCGTATGCATTCTCTCTTTCATTCTTTACACACCCGTTTCATTGTTTTTTTCTTTCTTTATCTCCTTCCTCCTCGTTTTTCGTCTTTCTCATCTTTTTCTCATTTTTCATCTTTTTCTCATCTTTTTCTCATCTTTTTCACCGCTTTTTGGAATGTTTTTTAGTCTTTTTGTTCTTCGTTCCTTCTTTCTGTTCTCTTCCCACTTTTCCTTTCCTTTTTTGCTTTATATGTTTTGAACTGACTTTCATTTTCTTTCTTATAAACGGATTCATTCATCTTTATGAGAATTTTATCTTTCATTTTTCTTCCTCACGTCATTTTCCTTCTTTTTCTTACTTCCTTCAATCCTCTAATCACTTTTTCTCTTTCATATTACCC